CACACACACACACACACACACACACACACACACACTAAATAAATGTTTAAAAAAATAAACTTTATTTTATTTTATTTTATTTTATTTTATTTTTCTGTATTTAGGACAGGGTCTATAGGGTCTACAGGGTCTCACCATGTAGATTGGACTTGTCATGATCTGCCTGTGTTCAGCCTCCCAAGCACTTGGATTACAGGCGCACCACCACACCAGGTCTCAATCGCTGTCTCAGCAAGCCCTGGGGGCGGGGCCAGCCTGCCACACCAGGGATCAAACACTGGCTGCTGAGCTCTGCCTAAGCAGGCACTTTAGTCTGCTAAGCTATTGGGCTGGCCTCCTTTAACCTTTATTTTTGCAACTTTGCTATCATCACTTGTTAGTTCTGAGTATTCATTTGCAGATGCTTTGGAATTTTCTCTAAAGATAATGACATCTGTAAGCAAAAACAATTTTTCTTTCTTTTTTTTTTTTGCTTTTATATGCCATTTATTTCCTTTCCCTGTCTTATTTATATTAGCCAAGAATTTTAGTAAGATGTTGAATTGGAGGGGACATAGGAGTTACCTTTTCCTGTTTTCTGATCTTTGCAGGAGAGCATCTAGGTTATTTTTTTAAGCCACTAAGTATCATGGTAGTTGTAGATATTTAAAATAGATTTCTTTAACAAGTTGAGGAGGTCCCCTTTATTCCTAGTGATAAGAGTTTTAAAATCATAAATAAGTACTAGATTTTGTCAAATGGTTCAATATTTCTTGAAATATCGGTAGGCTCGTGTGCTTTCTTCTTTACCTGCTCGTTTTTGGATATAGAGTCAGCCATGAACACCTTGAATAAATGTCACCTGGTGTGGTATATGATATTTTTCTCATCCTGTTGGTTTTTATTATTCGTTGACCTGGTCTATAAGTGACAGAGTATTCCCAGAGTATACCTTTCTGTTCTCTCTGTGAAGGACAGATTATTTATTTTGATGACAACTATGATTTATAAGCTAATTTCAATTAGAGGAAAATATTTACAAGAAATGAGAAATAGGGTATGGCTTTTTTTCCTAAAGGTTCTCGTTGTTTCACAATATGCAAAGACAATGAAGGGAAAACTTTCCGTGAAATGTTATAGAGCATTTGAAGAAATTATGTTCAGTTTCCTTGGGTTGTAATATCTGTAAGGGATCATTCTGAAAAAGAATACCAAAGGTACTAATGTGTGGCTAAAAAGGCTTTGATTTGATATCTTTATCCTTATTATCAAATATTATACTAAAACAAGATTGGAATTTGAATTTTCTTTTAAGGTGACAAATTGATATGGTAATAGACACTCCAGTATAGGAGTAATAAAAATCTTTACTTACTATTTAAGAATGCTCTTATTGGCAGGTAAGTATTTTACTAAGAAGTGATGATATCAGCGAGATGGAAGAAAAGAAGTTTTCGACTGTTTTTCTCAGCAGAAGCATTGATTTGGATTACTAGTTTCAGGCAAGAGCACCACTGCAGTGCTGCAGGAGCCCAGCACATGAATTTCAAGAATCCAATGTGGTGAAAAATAGAATAGATGCACTGCACGAGCAAGAACAGCTTCACCTTACCCACTGCGCCCTTTCTCAGGGCAGCACAGCTCAGTTCCATGACGGGCGTCCTTGGCACATGATTTCTTCCATGGTACAAAGTGGAAAAACCATGTTCCCAGCAGTGCCAGCCACAAAGAACATGCCATAGAGGGGTAGTTGTTCTTTGTCCCACTGGGAATACTGTGTGGAGCACAGCTGAGTGACTGGGAAGAGGCTGGAAGCTGGGAAGGGGCAGTGGAGCTGGCTCACTCCCTACGCTCTGCATGAGGAGGCCCAAAGAGCTGCCAGGATGCCTGCTCTGTGGGCAGCCCCGCAGCTGCACCACTGGCACCTAGATGACCCACACTCTTCCCTGTCACTCCCCACAGATGTGGAGGCTCCGGGTTCATGCCGGCTTGCCTCAGCGGGAATGATAGGTGCATAACTCAGCAATGAACTCCCTTTCTTTTACAAGCTTAGGTTTTAGTGTGTACTTTTTCTAGCTCCTTGATTAGTAAAGCTAGCTATCCTTTCCTTCATGCAGGCAGTCATTTCGATAAGTGTTCCTTTCACAGGGGCTTTCAGGGCATATCATGTATTCTAAATGCCTCTTTTTATTTTTTGTTGGTCTCAAAAATGTTAAAGTTCCAGGTGGGCATGGCAACACACACCTGTAATCTCAGCACTCAGGAGGCTGAGGCAGGAGGATCATTGAGAGTTCAAGACTAACCTGGCTACAAAGTGAGTTCAAGGGCAGCCTGAACTGATAGTGAGACCCTGTCTTAAAAATATTAATGTCTTCCAGGTCCAATTATTGTTTCAGAAGTGTGATGAAATCCGAAAAGATAAAAATTTCTGAACTTTGAATTCCCTAGAATTTAAAGAGCTAAAAGTTAAAAATCTAAAAAGTATAATTTTTATTAATGAGTAAGATTCACTTATACTCTTGAAATACACTCTTGAGTCACTGGTATCAAACTTTTCTGGCTTCATAAAACTTTTCTGGCTTCATATTATTTGTTGTAATAGTGTTTGTAAATAGGAAATCATGTCTGCTTCTTGCACAGCAAATAACCACTAGGAAGACAGTATGCAATGTGTCAATTATTGAAACTGTGCTACCAATTTGATTTGAAACTGTCTCATTGCTATTTGTCTCTCAATAAAATGATGGAAAAAATAAAAGTGAAATAAAATAAAATAAAAATAAAAAATAAAAAGTATGATTTTAGAGAAAAGAATACATACATTATGCAAAAGACATTTGTGATGGCTTACTTTGATTGTCAACTTGATTGGCCTGAAACACACATAAAGAACACTTCTGAGTGTCATGCAACCCTGGCCTCTCTCCCTCTCCCCCTGCAATGTTTCCTGGATGTCATGGGCTGAAAAATCTTGTGACAGACGACATCATGGTAAATAAAAAAATAGAAACAGAAAAAGACAAGTACACTCCCCTGTATCACTGATCTATGGAGTCTAAAAACGTTAGACTTGTAAAAGCAGAATAGAAGGGATTTCTACTTGT